ATGGGTTTGTTTGTTTGTTTCTTGTAAATCTGCTTTGGTTCTTTGTAGATTCTGGATATCAGCCCTTGTCAGATGGGTAGATTGCAGAAATTTTTTCCCATTCTGTTGGTTGCTGATTCACTCTAATGATTGTTTCTTTTGCTGTGCAGAAACTCTTAAGTTTAATTAGATCCCATTTGTCTATTTTGGCTTTTGTTGCCATTGCTTTTGGTGTTGTAGTCATGAAGTCCTTGCCTATGAGTAGATCTTAAATGTTTTCATCACATGAAAAGTAACTTGGTGAGGTGATAGATTAACTAGTTTGATTTAGTCATTCTACAATGTATGCATAGATCAAAACATCCAATTGTATCTTATAAAAATATATACAATTTTTCTTTGTCAATTAAAAATTTTAAAAATTACAGGAGGCTGAGGTGAGGTTACAGTGAGCTGTGATCATGCCACTGCACTCCAGTCTGGGTGACGGAGAAAGACTCTGTCTCTTAAAAAAAATGTAACTTTAAAAATTAATTAATTTTTAAAAATCCTAACGCTCCCATCACCCCAGCCCCGCATCCTTCTCCCTTCCCCCAGGGTCCCTCCCCTGAGCTGTGCTCTGATTGCTAGAGTGGTACGTCCCTATCCTGGCACTCTTGCTGTGCTGTCCCTGTTCCTTGGGTAGCTTCCCCGTCACTCCTCAGGGGCTTCCCTGGCCACCCTCTGCTCGGGCCGTTCCTGAGTGTTGCATCAGCACCTTCCTTGCCTTTACCCACCGGCCACAGCTTGTGTTTGCCGCCTGAGCCGGAGCACTTGTTTGTCACCTCATGGTCTTCCCCTCCGTGAGGGCAGGGACCGCAGTCTTCCTTTCATGCAGTCTACCCAACTGTGGGCGAGGTGTGTGCACACACGCTCAGCATGTTAGTAGATTGAACATATGTATAAACTAGACTTTGAATCCAGATTATTGTTCTCTCCTGGCCATACAGGTGCTTCTTCCTGCTGCCCATTTACATCTTGGGTGTCACCATCTCTGGCCAGTGCCTGCCCTGTGATCATCTATCAAGGGACCACAGTCCTTTGTGACTCTTGGGTCCAGAGGTGTTTGGGAATGTGACAATTTTTAGATTTTTAGAACAGAATCAGTGAAAGTCCCATATGTTACAGAACATCCTAGGCAGCACCTTCTCATCGAGTGCATTAAGATTTTTGCAGTGAAGTACCTGAATATTTGCACTAAGTGGGACAGTGAGACTATGAATAGCCTCACATCAGATCAGGGCATGCTGCCAAGTGAGTTATGAACATGCTTTCAGTTTTCAGAGAGCTTTTTGGATTTTCGAATTGTAGATGAGGGATTATGGACCTGTCTTAGTGAGCATCTGCTTGTCACGCATTATGCAGCGTGCTGAAACACAAAGGAAGAAAACATCGCGTCCGCCCTCCCGCGTAGGGGTGGGTGGTCACCATATGCAGGTGATGAGCCCATGCTGGGAGGGCACTCCAGCAGGTCTGGTGTTCTCCCTGTCATCTCCCCTTTCCCTTTAAGAGCGTGCTCCACAGGTGCAGTTTCAGGTGAGCCACATGGGGGCCTGGCAGCAGGGGCACTGCATTGTGACATAGGCCTCAGTGTGTCCCTCTCTGAGTGTCTGAGGTCACTGTTCTGGATTGCCCAGATCCTGCCCTCAGGTCTGGCTGTCCGGGTCCAAGGAGAGGGCAGACTCCAGATGATGCTGCAGATCCGGAGCGCTGCCTTTACTTCCTAACCTTCTGTACTCAGGCGCCAGGTAATGGTTTTCAGATGCATTTTGATGTAGGTAGGTACCTTTACAGTTTGCTTTCTGAAATGGGACCTGCTTTTTTTTTTTTTTTGAGACAGGGTCTTCCTCTGTCGCCCAGGCTGAAGCACAATGGTGCAGTCACAGCTCACTGCAGCTTCAGTCTCCTGGACTCAAGTGATCCTACTACCTCAGCCTCTTGAGTAGCTGGGATTACAAGCACCCACCACTACATTTGGCTAAGTTAAAAAAATTTTTTTGTAGAGATGGGGTCTCGCTATGTTGACTAGGCTGGTCCTGAACTCCTGGGTTCAAGCAGATCCTCCTGCCTCGGCCTCCCAAAGTGCTAAGATTATAGGCATGAACCACCAACACCCGCCTGGTACCTGCATTTGAAAATGTTTCATTGCCAAGCCTGCAGGGAGGTCTGCCCTTTTTTATTAGAAAATGAAGAGCTAATTCTGAAACATGCCTACTAAATATTCATATCTCAAGCACTTTAAAAGGATGTAGGGTGAAATAATCTGTTCCTGAAGCAAATATCACTGTGTGTTCGTTACATTATTTCCGAAGTTTTTCTGTGGCCTTTGATAAATTGTGTAAAATGTATTAAGCCTCATGTGAAAATGTATATTAAAGATTGCTCTTTTAATTTAAAATGATTTTGTCCCAGGTACTTGACTTAATGAGTCAAGGTTTAATGTGCGACGACACTATTAGAAATACCTTCTCAATCTTTCAGATTTTATAAAAGATATTGCAGTTTTCAGAAAGTTGAGAATGGTCTTTTGTAATGTATTTTAAGATAGTTAAGAATAGAGTTTATATAGTTAAGATTAGGATTTGTATTACAAAAAACCCCTTCAAGACACATTTTGGGCTTTTATGAGCGAGTAATCATGACAGGACAGAGTGGCTTCACCCACAGTTTTGTGGTTAATATTTGCAAGTCGTTTATTTAACAAGGTTGAAAAGAGGCTCCCTGGTGTCTTTCATGATTACCCTTTTCTGGGGACCAGCTTATAAAGTAAAAAATATCTGGTGGTAGTGTCTTTGCTTCAGATGTATTATGTTTATGGAATTGGAAATGTTTGATTTCTTAGTCTGTGTGTATCAATGGATTATGTAGTTTAAAAATGTTTGCATCTGTATTCCATGTATAAACATGTCCGTTTCCAAGTGTGGCCTTTAAAAGACTGAGGGTTTTGTGGCTAGGGCGCAGTGGCTCACACCTGTAATCCCAGCACTTTGAAAGGCAGAGGTGGACAGATCATGAGGTCAGGAGTTTGAGACCAGCCTGGCCAATATGGTGACATCCTGTCTCTACTAAAAATACAAAAATTAGTCGGGCATGGTGGCGTGCACCTGTAGTTGCAGCTACTCAGGAGACTGAGGCAGGAGAATGGCTTGAACCTGGGAGGCGGAGGTTGCAGTGAGCTGAGATTGCACCACTGCACTCCAACCTGGGCAACAGAGTGAGACTCTGCCTCAAACAAAAAAAGTAAATAAAAGACAGGTTTTTTTCTAAGTTGTTTATTTATACTTTAAGTTCTGGGGTACATGTGCAGATCTTGCAGGTTAGTTACATAGGTATACACGTGCCATGGTGGTGGTTTGCTGCATCCGTCACCTATCATCTACGTTAGGTATTTCTCCTAATGCTATCCCAAGACTGAGGGTTTTTTAAAAGGTCATAATAGAAAAATTTTATGTGTTTTAATTGCTTAAATGTTTTTTTGGTATTAAAAAAAATTGAATGTAATGTGGGAAATGTGAAATGGATGCAGCACTATAAGATTTTCCACAGAAATACGTTATTTGCAGTGAAGCACAATGGGAAGGCTCCATTAGCACTGTAGATGGTATCGTAACTTTGGAAAAACCATTTCACCACGAGAGTATTTACAAAAACTGAAGCCACCCTGTCAGGTTTTGACAGAACTTAGCTATATAGGTAGTGAGTGACGTATGCCAAAACCAGTCTTAAATTACCTATGTTGTCAATATGCAGATTTTCTCTATTTAGTATTTAAACGGTGCGTTTACCAATCTGAGTAAATTGAAATGCCGTATCATAAAAAGAATCAAATCTACCAAACTGAAAATGTGTGCATATCTAAAGTAGTTTCTTTTCTTGATTTTGGTTAAGTTAACAGAAGTATCTTCACATCTGTAATTTCTGGTAACTTAATGAGAACACACTGAACTTTTGGGTCACAATAAATTTTCCCATTATGTAAAATATTTTACACACTGGTTGACTCATTGTGAATTGTGAGTCGACATGATTCTCTTCCTGCGGAAAATAGAAACACACCTTATTGTAATGACGACTTGAGCCAGTTACAGAATTGTGCATGTTACCACGTTGACCGTAGGTGCTTTCTATGAGTTGGGTTGTTGAAGACTTTGAGATGGACAGCTGGCGCTGGGTGGGAATGAAGTGGAAACTTTTTTTAGGTTTAGGGAATGTAGTCTTTCCACTGTCATTTAGTTGTTTATTTTATGCATAGGCTTATTTTTGTTCTTGTGAGCGTTATGTTGAGTTAACGTGTTTTCTTTGACCTCAAACCTTCTGAAATGTTTCTAGGTCTTAAAGATCCAGGTATTATTTATTTCCTAGTAGACAGAGCCAATTAAATGAATACTTTCTTGGGGGAGAGTGTTGGTAAGTTCCATGGTGACACCTCTCTCTCATGATTAAAAATGTTACGTTTGCACAAATATGTAATTTGTATTTTACTTTAAAATTAAGATCAATTTTTTTCTTGAAAAATTGTTGAACTTTTAGATTTGGAAGAGGGGGAGTTGCCACAGGAATTATGAATTGTTTTGAATAGTGAGAAGCTTATTTAAAATTTTTGGAAGGACTACCCCAAAAGTAATGCATGTTTTGGCATAGTGGGAACTCCTGTCATAATGTTTTCTTGTTTTTTAATTGAGTGGGTGAGCTGCATCTCATTAAATGGTGTCTGTTGGATGTTTGGCGTTTGGCTTGATTGTGTCAGCTTTTAAAAAATAACTTTATTGAAATAGTCACATTCCATACAATTCACCTATTTAAAGTGACTCCCTGGTTCAAGCCGTTCTCCTGCATCAGCCTCGCAAGTAGCTGGGATTATAGGCATGTGCCACCATGCCTGGCTAATTTTTGTATATTTAGTAGAGATGAGGTATCACCATGTTGGCCAGGCTGGTCTCGATCTCCTGACCTCGTGATCCACCTGCCTAAGCCTCCCAAAGTGTTGGGATTACAGTCGTGAGCCACTGCGCCGGGCTTCAGTGGTTTTTAGTATATTCACAGGGTTGTGCAGCCGTTGCCTACTTTGGACATTCTGTAGAAATGCAGTTAGACAGTATGTGTTTTCTGTGCCCAGCCGCTCTCACTCAGCATCATGTTTTCATTCATGTTGTAGCGTGTATCAATCAAGGTGGATGTTCCACATTGTATGTATTCATTAGTCCATTGATAGACATTTGGGTTGTTTCTCCTTTTCGGCTGTTGTGTGGTAATGCTGCTGTGAACATTCATGTGCAGGTTTTTGTGTGGACATGCGTTTTCACTTCTGTTGGGAATATACCTCGTCGTTTATATCCTCTTTTGTTGCTTCTTTTACCTGTGGTTCAGGCTCCCATTTATGCTTGTACAGACACTTTGCTACTTGTAACTGGGGCTTGTTTGACCTTTGTTGCTGACCTAGTGACTTCTTGTGTCATGTTTAAAGCCCCTGAAACCCTCTGTTGCCTAGAGAGACAGGCAGAATTGCAGTCTGTTTCCTTCCTAAGACCAGATCACATCTGGTGGTCATGAAATGGTCTTATCAAATAAGTACCTGTAAGATAATTGGTAAATAAGTATGTATCTAAGCCAAATAGATTGTGTGTGTGTTTTAGATTGTTTTTCTTCTCTGTGCTTTCTCTTAGGGACATCCTTTGTTCTGTGGCCCCAGTGGCACCTAGAGTGACGACTATGAATGATTTGTCTCTGTTTTCCCTTCAGGCAGAATACTGCTGGCTTGGATTTTTTTCTTGTTAATTTTGGTGACTTAGTTGCCTGTTTGAAGTGATAAGTACCTTCAGATAGTAGTGATGCTCTTTAGCATTTTAAGTGTCCAAATGAGACCTATTGGGATGTTTCCATAATTTGCATCAAATTCATGTAAACGTACATTAATGATATTAGCTAGTCTGCATGAGCTAAAGTATCAATTTCATTACTAGTATTTAATAAAGGGGCAGGATTAGCCATGGCCATTCTAGTTAATGGTAAGAGCCCTGTAGGTCTCTCATCATATATTTAAGCTGAATTAAGCTTGGAAATATAACTGAGTGCGTTGTGGCTATATTTGGTAACAGTCATGCCTTACATTTTGAGATAGCTTATACTTTTTCACACCAGTTGACTCATTGTAAATTATGAGTAGATGTGATTCGCTTCCTGCAGAGAGCAAATGCATTCAGTCCACTGAAAATCAGCTTCATGAGGTTTGTAGGACAGGCCTTACTCCTTTCTTAGACAAGGAATCTGAGATCCAGAAAGAGTGAGCGGTTGATTGGGAGGAGTCAGTGCCAGAGGGAGGCAGCGTGCCCTTTCTGCTCTGCCTACGCTGTGAGGACACCAGGCCGTGCCTTCACCAGGAGGAAGTCATGCCAAGTCCAAAGCATCAGGCCGCTCAGAGCCAAGCAGCTTTGCTGGAGCACCCACTGGTGCCCTTAGAAAGTGATTTCTCCTGTTGAAACCTCGCTGCCACCTCACCTGGAAACAAGACAGTAGGAAGCCACCCCCCCAGGTATGTGGGGACCCGGCACCCGTGCGCCGAACCTCACTGTCCTTGGTCAGATTGTTGAGTTGGGCGGCAATTGGAAGGGTCCTCTGGCATGCTCCTCTGGGGACCTTCTGCCACCCCTGGAGACAGCTCGCGCCCCTGCCCATCTCTCCCCACCAGTGCACACTCCCCCCAGCCCTGGCCCAGCTGCGGGGCCCTCCCCAGTAGGCTCTGGCTGTTCCAGGAGGCATGAGAGTGTTGCCGTGGGACCTGCCCACTGCTCGACATCCCCCAGGGAGAGCCTGCTCAGGCCACGCACGGGCTTCTGGCCAGACAGATCAGTGGGGAAGAGTTCCCCTGCAGCGCTGCTGCCAGCGGGGGCTAGTGAGGGTGGCACTGCCACGGAGAACACGCCTTGATCTCTGACTTGAAAGGCAGCATTCTTCTGGAACTTCTGTGGGGAGTGCCCAGAGTGGCACCTAAATGTCCAGAAGCGTTTGATGAAAGTTCATCTGAGGCTTTTAAACTGCTCGAGTGAGTCTTTCTGAAGCGCAGTGATGGCAAAAGGAAACCACCTCGAGCTGCCTACCTGCGCATTCTCTCCTCGGCTCCCGTGGGCTGTGAGGTGTTCCCTGTCAGGAATTTACGCGGAAGCGTGTCTGCTGTGGCCGAATGTGTTCATTCATTCATAGCTCACGGTAAGAGGGAGGGATGGGGGAGGAAGACTGCAGTATTTCCTTAAAAGTTTTTCCGTAACTCGAATCCCTCCCATCCCCGTGAGGTAACATCATCTTTTCCAGTTGGCGACAGTGAACTCTGTTTTGGGTACCTACAAAAGCAGAAGGGGTGGGTAGGTTGTGGCCGGAGGAGGCTGGTGCCTGGGTGTGGATCCTGGCTCTTCCGCTTGAACTCACTGTGCCTCAGCGTCCTTGTGTGTCGGATGGAGCCGCCTCACAGGAGCAAGCGAGTTGTGTGTGTGGAGCAGGTGGCTGATGTGCGGCGAGTCCTCCAGGAATGCGGCCGCAGCAGGAGCACTTTGGGCACCGCAGATACAGCCCTGACCACGCTGCAGGGCTTCCGTGCGGGGCCACTGCACATCCACCGCTTCAAGACAGCATGGGAGCTGCCGGAGGTGGGGGGCTGGCTCAGGAAAAGGGCCTTGCTGCCAGGGGTGGGAAGGCAGTCAGTGAAGACTTCCTGGAGGAGCCTGAGATGAGAAGTAGTTAGGTAGCCAGAGACAAGGCAAAGAAGGGCCATTTTCCTCAGAGAACAGCATAGCATTGGCAGAGGTCCGACATGTCATTTCCTATTGCAGAATTGGGGAGTGCCCAGTAGGTTCTTTCGTTTGTTTGTTCATTCATCCAGTCTTTCACCTCACACCTGTTCAGGGTCCGGCTGGGCTCTGGACATGGGGTGGAAGATAGCCATCTGAGCAGAGGCTGCTTGGACTGTCACCTTTGTTGGGGTTGCCATGGGTGCCAGAGGACAGCTGTTACTTATGGGTGGCAGCGTGGTGGGGTGGCACAGCACAGAGCTGCCCTGCTGTGCTCACACCCGGTGCCTCCCTGCGGTCACCACGTGCCTTGGGCAAGTGTAGGCCTCAGGTCCCAGATGCCAGTTTCTGTCAGTGGTGGTGGTGGTGGCCATACCCGCTCTGGTCTGCTGTGAGGGAGGGACGGGCTCCAGCCACAAACATTTACCTTGCAGAGGACCTCCTGCACCTGCTGAGAATGGGCACGGCCATCTGGAGGATGTTCTCCCCTTGGCCCTCCCTGTTCCAGCCAAGTCCACAGCCTTCAGCTCCTTTTATAAGTATTCCTTTCTCACAGAGCCTTGTCCTGGAGCTGCAGATGGGCCCTGGTTCTGCCTCCCATGCGGTGCCGGTCCTCCTCCACCATGCACGATGGTGTGTTTCCCGTTATTCTTCCTCCTTATACATATAGCCTGAAGGCAATTTTGTGTTCAGTTTAAAAAGTATTTTGTACATGAAATAAAGTTTTGACTGTGACCTGTCACGTGAGGTCATTTGGGGAATTTCTTCTTGTGATGGTATGTAGGTACTCAGAAAGTTTCAGATTTTGGGGCAGTTTGGATTTTTGGATTAGGGTTGCTCAACTTGAATGTCCTTTTATCTACAGCATATGGTCAGTGCTCACTAAACGTATTGCATGAATGAATGAAAACCAAAGTCATTTAGTAAGCATGTTACTATTTCAGAAGTCTCTTTTCTGAAATTGATTATATGGTCAATGGTTCAAAATTTCAAGTGCTCTGACCACATAATGGTTATTACCATACTGTGAAGGTAGCTGAGTGTTCAGTGATTGCTGCCCACAGAGGACCTGGAAGTGCTTGCTGTACTTGCATGTTTTGGAATGGAAATCATGGCTCATTCCCAAGAGCCCCTCAGCAGGGGCTCTGAGCCTGGTGCTAAGCAGCAGATGTGCAGATTCCTGCAGGGCGTACCTGAGCACTGAGAGGGGGCGTCATATACACATCACACTCGTTTCCGCATCCCTACCCCACACAGCCAGTGGTCACAGCCATCCTCCAGTAAAAACCACAAAGCAGTCAACCTTTAGGAAACAGGTAGGAAATCTAGAAAAAGCCTCAGGTGTTTACAGCATTTTTAAAGGTTGTTAAAAAAAAATCTTTGTGATTGGAAAGCCTGCTTCCTGTGCCAGGGAGACTCTCTCCAGCGCTTTTGCTTCTGAGGTTGGTAGCTTTCAGAAAGACTGCAATGCAGCGGTTACCAAAGTCCTTGTTAATATGGAAACAACCCGTGGTGAAGCCTTTTGCTCCCCTTCACAACTGCTGACTGCTGCCTGCAGTCTGAAGGAGGAGTTAATGAAGGCAGTGATCCTCCGGACCTGGCAGTTTAGTGATTAGAACGTGCGCGATTCTGTGAATGCTGTGGCTGGCGCAGGCATGTCCTGCAGCAGCTCTGTCAAGTTACTGATGCAGTCGGCTTCTTCCTGGGAACGCGAAGCCGAAGATGTCTTTGCAGTTTGTGCACAATAATTTTGTTTTCATCTCTCTGTTCAGATGACGGATTATAAGAAGGTAACGGACTTTAGAAATCATGCATATATGTATTTTAAGTGTTTATGAATATCCCTAGCCAAGGTAATGAATTATGATTGAATAGATCTCTTTCGAACCTAAGAAATAAAAGTTTATTTCTTGTTAATGACAGTTTTGACAATTGAAGAGTTATCTTATTTCATATTGACAGATGCCCTCTAAGGGAATTATTGAAGATGTTCTTTGAAGAGATCTGCTTTCTCTTGGATTTGCTAAACATAGTTGAATTTCAGAGATGTAGATACAGATATTTTGTTTCTTTAACTTAAGCAAGGACAGTTTCATTAATCTGGATGGAACTTTTCATCTTACAAAATCTCAACCACCAGCTGTAGATGATGAATTCTAATCTCCTTAGTTCTTATTTTGCCTTCAGAAGAGCATTTTCGGATGTGTGGAGCTTTGTGCTTATCCATGGGGTGAGCTGGGTGCTACCTCCAGCTGCTGCTCTTTGTTTATCTTAGAGGGAGTCCAAGAGTCAGAGCTGAGATTTATTTTGCAATGAATTAGTGGCCCCAAACTGTATTAAATGCATTATGGGTGGTAATTTATATGTCCAATGCCAAGAAATATAATGTTGGGGTTACCATGGCAACTGCTTGCATTCTGAAAAGCTTGTGAATGGGTTCTGAACCTTCTGGCATTGGAAGTGAGCTTTCCTAGCCGAGAGCCTGCATTCGTGATTTGTGTAAATAAATTTGGCTTTCCATATGAAGCACATCCTTTCTCTTCGTTTACCAGAGTAGCCCGTTGAGCTCAGTTCTTTCTCTGGCAACGTCTGCCTTGGTGTCTTGCTTCCTGGCAACAGACTATGGTTGAGACATAGTTTTCAACTTCAGGCCGAGGAACTAGCCTGTGTGTGTGTGCTGGCCTGCCACCTCAGTCTGCAGGCTGTGAAGAAGGGGGCTGGCTCATCGTGCCTCCCGAGGCCTAGCAATGCATGAGGTCTCCAAAAGCACAGTTGCAGCCCCATGTGCTGGGGGGGTCCTGGCACAGCTTTCTGTTCATCCAAAGGGTTTGTTTCCAGTAACACACATGCTAGGGCTCTTCCTGGGAGGCAGCCCTGCCTGTTTCCAGGATATCATGGGGATTCGTTTTGGGGATGGAGGCCCAGGTTATAAAGACCCATGTTTAAAATGTCAAGCTTATGAAAATAATAAACGAGGGCCTATTGTCTTCATTGCCGAAGGTCTGTTTGCTGTTGGTTAGAAATATATGTAGCATAGGCCGGGCATGGTAGCTCATGCCTGTAATCCCAGCACTTTGAGAGACCAAGGCAGGAGGATTGCTGGAGTCCAGGAATCCAAGACCATTCAGGGCAAAATAGCGAGACCTCATCTCTAGAGAAAAATAAAATAAAGAAAACTAGTCTCCCTCGTGGATTTAAAACAATGTTGATGTCTTGATTGCCTGGGACTGAAATGTCTGTGATTTCAGGGGCCTGAGGTTGGAAGGTTGGAGCCTGGTGTTGCTGCCAAGGTGGCAGCTCCTAGAGGGCCTGGCTAGGCTCTGGGAGAATGTTTTCACCCTCTGTGGAATTCATTCTCTTTGTTAATAAATATTCAGATTATAGAGTTTAAATGTCGAGCTTGAAGATAGACTGGCCTTCAGGCACACAGTGGGCATGTTGCTGTGGCTCACCTGTAGGCCTCAGTTACGAATCTTTGTCTAATCCAATCCCTTTATTTTACAGATGAGGAAAATGAGGCCCAAAGAAGTAATGCCACTTGGTTAAGGTCCCAGAGCAGGTCAGAATCAGATCTAGGATCAGAAACCTGGCTCCTGGCTCCTGGCTCTCTACTCTTCTAAGGATCGCTGTCCTGACAGAAGCGGTTTGCTCTCAGTGCATGTTGTTTTTGCTTTCCTTTTGTCAGAAAGAGGCCTGTAATAACAACAGGCATCTAATTTAGACTGTGATTTAGAATTTTTAAAATTCCTGTCTTCACTTCCTCTGATTATTTATTGAATTTCCACTCAGTGTGCTGGAGTAACCCACGGGAGGGGCAAACGGCATGACCTCTACCCTTAATGCTGTCTGCTGTGATGAGAGATGGGTGCATAGCCGAGCCCGCAGACTGGGATGTCGAGATAAATTCTGGCTTGACACCTGCATTTCTGCCTGTCTGTGGTATTCTGTGTTCTTATAGAGAAGCTGCAGTGCCCAGCAGTTACCCTGGGGCGAATCTGAATCACCACCTGTTAAGTCAGGGTCATGATACTGTATTTACTAAGGCAGGGCAACATAGTAATTTAGACTCAACTTATAAGTTGCAACTTATTACACATAATAGTAATAAGAGGTTCGCCTTGCAAGGGTTGAAATACAAATTGATTTTTTTAGCCAGATTCCATTGAACCCTGGTTGTTGATTTTCCAATCTTGAAAGAATACTGAGATTTTGTTGTAGAACTCACGTAGGGTGCCATTGTGTTTTCCTAAGTATTCTCAGTGATTTCTCCCATTCTCTGTATTTTTCTCGCATGGGACTTTGACAAAGAGGTGTGCCTGGGCTGGGTGTGTGGCCCCCCTCACCCAGCAGTATGGCACAGTGGAGCTATGTGACTTCTGAGCTAGGTCATTAAAAGGGTGCAGTTTTTGCTTGGATTTCTTTTTGGGGTCCTTGTTTGCCATCCATACAGTGAGGAAACCCATCTAACCCACACAGGAGGACCACACAGTGAGCAGGGCGTTGACGTAGCAAGGTGACTTCGTTTTCTGAGTAACCTCCACTACAGTGTTGAAACTGTGTCCCTGAGCTCAGCAGGTGGAGGTAAAAGATTTTTCAAAGAAAAGGGTAATGTAGGCTCTTGGTTGACCACATGGTGAAGAGAGGCCCCTGGGTCGTCTGAAGTGTTGCAGATAGAGCATGGAGTGCTGGGACCTTCAGTCAGGCCAGGTCCTGCTGCCTCACTGTCCTGCTCTCCCAGGTGCTCCTGGCCTGCCTTGCTCCCTGGCCCAGTGCTGCCTTCTGCCCTTTCATGGGGTAAGCTGCTTTCTCCCAGCCCCAGCCATCGGTCTTGTTGCTCAGAATGCAAGAGCCTTTCTTGGCTTAGAACTTTAACTCAAAACCCTCAGTTTTTTTTTTAAATTTTCTTTTTTTTGAGATGGAGTTTTGTTCTTGTTGCCCAGGCTAGAGTGCATTGGCATAGTCTTGGCTCACTGCAAACTCCGCCTCCCCAGCTCAAGCAATTCTGCTGCCTCAGCCTCCCAAGTAGCTAGGATCACAGGTACGTAGTACTACACCTGGCTGATTTTTTTTGTATTTTTTTTTAGTAGAAATGGGGTTTCACCATGTTGGCCAAGCTGGTCTCCCAACTCCTGACGGCAGGTGATCTGCCCGCCTTGGCCTCCCAAAGTGCTGCTATTAGAGGCGTGCTGGGCAGTTTTATCATTCATCATCGGGGTAGTTTGGTTTATTATAACTTGCAGCTTCATACCTTATAAAACAAATTCATTTCTTGCTTTCAGATTTGCTTACCTAAAAGTTCTATTCATAATAGTAACTTAGCACAAGGCTTCTAATATATGAGTTGATGAAAAGCAGCTCCTGTATCACCTTTAATAAGGATAATTTGGAAGTGTAATTTAATGCCTGGAAGCCAATTGGTACTGAGGTTTAATTTTGTACTTGGAAAAGAAGTTCGAGAAGAAAAGTATCCTTTTTTTCCTTAAATTTATTTTTCTTAGTTGACATATAAAATTGTATATATATTTATCATGTACAGCATGATATTTTGAAGTATATATTATGGAAAGGTTAAGTCTAGCAAATTAGCAAGTGTAAAGATAAACTCAGTAGTTATCTTTTTTGTGGTGAGAACACTTTACATGACTTCGTTGTTTTTTTTTTTAAACATAAAATCATTCAGAAAAGTCATCTACTTTCTTAGCATTTTTCAAGAAGAAAAGTATCTTTTTAACAAATACATTTTCCAAGCCCTGGTCCGTAACCCACTATTGTTCAGTTAATATTTATCAAGCACTGGCTGGGCGCAGTGGCTCACGCCTGTAATCCCAGCACTTCAGGAGACTGAGGTGGGTAGATCACCTGAGGTCAGAAGTTCAAGACCAGCCTGGCCAACATGGTGAAAGCCTGTCTCTACTAAAAATACAAAAATTAGATTGACATGGTGGTGGGTGACTGTAATCCCAGCTACTCGGGAGGCCGAGGCAGGAGAATTGCTTGAGCCCTGATGATGGAGATTGCAGTGAGCTGAGATTGTGCCACCGCACTCCAGCCTGGGTAGCATAGTTAGACTTCTCCTAAAAAAAAAATAAATAATTGGGTGTGCATACTGCCCATAGCAATTTACAGACTCAGTGCGATTCCTGGCAAATTACCAAGGACCTTCTTCACAGAACTAGAAAAACACTGCTTTAAAATTCATATGGACCAAAAAAGAACCCAAATAGCCAAGGGAGTCTAAGCAAAAGAACAAAGCTGGAGGTATTCTGTTACCCAACTTCAAACTATGCTATAGGGACGCGGCAACCTCACAGCATGGTATGGTGCAAAAGCAGACACCAGTGGAACAAAAGAGAGAGCCCAGAAACAAGGCCACACACCTACAACCATCTGATCTTCGTCAAAGCTGACCAAAGCAGCGGGGAAAGGACTCTCTAAATCTGTGGTGCTGGGACAACTGGCTAGCCACGTGCAGAAGATTGAAACTGACCCCTTCCCTACACAATGTACAAAAATCAGCTCAAAATATAAGACTCAAATGTAAAACCCAACATTGTAAAGGCCCTGGAAGACAACCTCAGCAAATACCATTGTGGACATGGGAACTGACAAAGATTTCATGATGAAAACGCCACAAGCAATTGCAACAAAAGCAAAAACTGACAAATGGGATCTAATTAAACTTAAGAGCTTCTATTCAGCAAAAGAAACTATTAACAGAGTATATATACATTCTACAGCATGGAGAACATATTTGTAAATTATGCATCTGACAAAGGTGTGATATCCAGCATCTGTAAGGAACTTAAATTTACAAAAATAAATAAATAAATAAAAAGTGGGCAAAGGGCTGGGCGTGGTGGCTCACGCCTGTAATCCTAGCCCTTCGGGAGGCTGAGGCAGGTGGATCACAAGGTCAAGAGATCAAGACCATCCTGGCCAATGTGGTGAAACCCCGCCTCTACTAAAAATATAAAAATTAGCTGGGTGTGGTGGCAGACGCCTATAATCCCAGCTACTCGGGAGGCAGAGACAGGAGGATAGCTTGAATCAGGGGGCCGAGATTGTGCCACTGCACTCCAGCCTACGACAGAGAAAGACTTTGTCTCAAAAAAAAAAAAAAAAAAAAAAAGTAGGCAAAGGACACACACAAACTCTTTTCAAAAGAAGAATACATACAGCCAGCAGGCATATGAAAAACAGCCCAAATCACTGACCATTAGAGAAATGCAAATCAAAACCACAGTGAGATACCATCTCACACCAGTCAGAATGGCCATTATTAAAAAGCCAAAAATAAGATGCTGGTGAGGTTGTGGAGAAAAGGGAGCACTTATACACTGCTGGTGGAGTGTAAATTAGTTCAACCACTGCAGAAAGCAGTATGGTGATTCCTCAGAGAGCTAGAAACAGAACTTACTTTCGACCCTGCAACCCCATTACTGGTTATATATACTCAAAGGGGTATAAATCATTCTACCATAAAGATATGTTCATTGCAGCACTATTCACAATAGCAAAGACATGGAATCCATCTAAACGCCTATCAATGGCAGACTGGATAAAGAAAATTTGATACATTTACATCGTGGAATACAATGCAACTGTAAGAAAGAATGAGATCCTATCTTTTGCAGGAACATGGTTGGGAGCTGGAGGCCATTATCCTCAGCAAACTAACGCAGGAACAGAAAACCAAGTACTGAATGTTCTCACTTATAAGTGGAAGCTAAGTGATGAGAACACTTGGACACAAAGAAGGGAACAACAGACAGTGGGGCCTCCTCAAGGGTGGAGGATGAGAGGAGGGAGAGGATCAGGAAAAATAACCATTGGGTTTTAGGCCTCATACCTGGGTTACAGAATAATCTGTACAACAAACCCTGGTGACAGGAGTTTACCTATATAACAAACCTGCACATGTACTTCTTTTTTTTTTTTTTTTTTTTTTTTTT